ATTAGTTGAATATACCCGTTTAAACATCACTAAAGAAACTTTGACAACAAGACACAAGATAATAAAGAGTTATTTAAAGTAAACATCTATTTTTCAATATTAATCACTTAGTGCATTCATAGTTTTAAAAATAAACAATTTTTTTGGCTTCGGTTTTGTTATTTAAAGTACTAAATATTTTTGAAGCATACAAATTGTGCAAAATATATTAGTAAATAATATTGAAAAAAAAAAATTTATTTAGTTTCATTATTTTGAAAATTGCATGTGTGGTTATCATTTATGGAAAATATAACTGTTCTATTGGTTTTTGTCTACGCTTATTAACTTTTGCTGCTTCTGTTAGTGTAAATAATCGTCTGATCAACATTTCAGAAAAAACATTATTTTACTGTAAACACCTTTTGAGAGCTGGAAGACAAAATATTTTTTAAATTTGAATTAATCTATTTTATTTTCAGACATTAATATTTATATTAGTAGTTAAATTTCATAGATATTTTCTAAAAAGTGCTTAAAATGTACTTTTTTATTTCAAGTTATAATTTTATAATAAATAACTATAAAAAGACTATAAAAATAGCACCATCAGATTTTGTCCAACCTAAATTTCTTACTTTGGTTTACTTGCTCCGGTATTACTCTACATTATAAAAGTTATATTACAATGAATATACTATTAAATGACATTTTCATGTTACTAAAGATTGAAACGTGCTATAATAAGCTGTAAAATGACTTGAGTAAAATTTAATAATTAAATTATTATATCATAAAATATATTATTTCATTTTTAAAGAACTCACAATATAATCTTAAAATTCAATATTATGTTTCTACTTATAAATTATCGAAACGCTAAAATGTATAATACGAAATTACACATATTTCTGATACATCTTTAAAATTATTTTGGAATATGAAAGAGTAATGTATTTATGTACATGAAAGTTGTAAAATTAGATTAAAAATTAAATCACTGTAATTAATAAGCATGATCCTGAAACTATAGGTACTACGACCTTAGATTTCATTAATTTTAGCTACAAAAAACCAAAAAGCATTCAACTATTAAGTAGAACAAGTATAAATATATTTTTCATCAGAATTTAATTTCACACAAACACGAAGAAATTATAATCTAATCAACAAAATTATAATATCAAAATAAAAAAAAAATTAAATTTTAGCATTTGAAATTCATTTAACAGTCACAAATTAGTAGTGAATGGTTTATTTAAATCTATAAATTTTATAAATTGTTATTTCTATTGCACCCAAGTTATGCACTTAAAAAATCAAACAAATATATATATAAAGTTATTGGTTTGTCATATCAACTCAATTACTCTCAAAATAGTTATATCATTAAAAAAAAATTGATTTATTTTCGTTACATATACTTTTTGATTTATCAGCTAATAATTTCTTTTTAGAATCATCCCTTTTAACATATAAGGGTGTCAAATTAAATTTTTGAAATGGTATGATAAAACGATATTGATATTAAAAGTGTAATTTTAATTTACTATAATACAATTATCTTAGGACTTTGATACTTAAGTTACAAAATAAATTAAAGAGTAACTCTCTCATCTAGACTAAGTATTAAATATATTTCTAGTTTACCTATACATAAGTATAAAAAATGTATACATTTTTTATATCAAAAGCGTGGCGAAAATTTTTTAATTGTGAAGGCTTACATGAAAAAAATATGTCGAAAACTTTTTGTATGTGACTTTTTTACCTAAAATGTAAATTAGTACGAAAATGGAGGGATTTTAGCACTTATCAATTTGCGATACTATAAAAAGTGATCTCCTAACTAAGTTTTTCAAAATACCTTGATAAAATTTAGAATTAATAATTTTTTTTTTTTATAACCGTTCTTTGTTGATTATAAAAATTGTATTTTCTGCTGCCATACCTTATACTTTAAAGACGTATAAACTTGACATTTTCAATCGGTGGCCCAAGTTACAGTTGAATTAATGTTTTTTTAAATCATCAAATTTATTTTATTGAAAACAAATATTTTTGTTGGACATTTTTTATATTATTCATCTTGAACGAATTATAGCAGTATAAAAATCCATATATATATATATATATATATATTATTTCATCTTGTACAATTGTTAAAATGATAAAATATAGATTATAGTATGTGTACACACACAATTAACTATTTAATTATTTAGTTGATGTCAATGGCATGAAAATATCAATATTTGACTATGTTTCAGACGGTAATACATTTTTATAAGGGATAGCTAACCATATTACGTGATACTTAGTAGCACTATATTTAATAGTGATACAAGGATAAAAATATAAACAGTTGAAAGAGGACATCGTAACGTTTCAATAAAATTTATTTGAATTAATAATTCTAAATATTATTACGTCCAAATATCCAGCAAATCCAACCTCATTTTATTTTGTTATATATTAAAACTCGTGAAATAAAATTTTACAAACAATGTGGATATGTCTCCTATTGGGAGGTTGAAAAGGATAAGCCCAACTAGAATAAATTGATAAACTAAGTTACGTTTTTGCTGGATATTTTTTTCCAATTTTTAACAATGTATTAAATGATTTACTAATTTTATACTTCTAGTCACTTAATTAATTGTACCAATATATGAATATACATAAAAACTATTTCATAAATTATGATAAATTTATTTATAATTTCAGGAGAATTTGTTTGACTCCATAAAATAAATGTCAGTATAAATATATTAATAGAGATACACAAATAATATTGATAAAATCAAAATAAAACGTTATTTTGATATTAAGAAATATATATCAAATTAAAATACTTATATTTTTATACAGTTATTTATCTGCTTGTTATAAATATGGAAATTATAACATATTATTACTCAAAAATATTTTTTCGAGAAAAGGGATTGGATTTATGCACGAAGAAACTAATGATGAATAATTTATTGTTTTATTAATTTTATTTAATCTTTTATCAGATTTATGTAGCGTAAGTGGTTATAGTAGAACTGGTGAATGTGCACTCTACCCACACTACATACCTATTCAATGTATTAAAATGCTTGCAACTCAATAAGTACTTATTCTAAAGTTGTTTCAAAACCCATCAAAAGTTTTTATATGAAAAGAGCTAAAACATTTTGGAATACCAATAAAAAATTTTCGTTTTTTCTTATTAGAGGTAACTTATACTTATATACTATAAGTAAGTTACTTATACTTATATACTATAAGTATAAGTAAAAAATACTTTTAACATAATCCAAACTTTTAAAAATTATTTAATAAAAACCAGCACAGTAGGTTTGTGTCATAGTTAGGACAAGTATAGGTGATATCTGATAGAGATTAAAATCATTATCAAAAAACCCTATGATGCAAATCTGTATATAGTGTTAAATTTTTAGATGAAATTATTCCAAAAGCAACATAAACTCCTATTTTCCTTATTATACTCTCATTACAATTATTATAATTTATAAGAATAACACATTAATAAATACTTAATATAGTAATTAAACTTAGTATTCTAATTTTTACGAAAAAATTCTAAAGTTGTTGTAGACATAGTAATTCTTTTAATATTAGTCACTTAATTTCTCTAAAAATAATAATTATATTTAAAAAAATATTTTTGATATTTTTTAATTTACTTTTATATATAGTTATTGAATATTTTTATAATTTATCTCTTATATCTTAAGAAAGTGTTAACTTTATTTTTCTGTGTCAATTTTTCGATTGGAATTGAACTCCTTAACCTCACCATTTGTTAAGCAGACGTTTATAATATGGTAAACATGCAATGCAATTCTTGAACAATAAAATGAGTAATTCAAGTTTTTATTTAATTCAGGACATACATTTTCAAAGTCGTTTTTCTCGCCTTAGTAAAAAGTGTTGTCAGAAAATTCAAAATGAGTTTGACTTTATAATCAATGTTGATATCATTCATATAATATTTATTAAAATCGATGACCACATCAATGTAGCCCACCTTTGTATGGTATTTTAATTAAAAAAGTACATTGAATAAAAAGGATGTATATATTACTTATATCTATTACTTTTAAATATAATTGTATTAATCCTTACATTTTTTAATAAGTTATGACAGTTTTTAGGTTGAAAAAATGAAATATAAAAAATATGTTAAAACTAAAAATTAGAATTTTTTTTAATAACATTTTCAAATGTAATTTGAGATGAATTGAAAAACTTTTCGTTTAAAAGTGCTATTTTGATTTCCTTCTTGTGGGCAAGTAAAATGTCAAATTTTCAATTACTTTTTTTTTTTTTTTTGAAAGCGAAATAACAATGGTATTTATTCATAAAAAACAAATTAATTATTTCATTATTCAAAACGTTAAAATAATTTTAAGAAAATAAAATACAAAAAAATCTTAATTCAAAGATTTTAAAAGTAGTAAATTTTTGAGGTGATTTATCACATTTACGAGAGAAATATATTAAATTTTTGATGGTAATCATATCTTGATGAAGATAAGATTTGTGATATTTAGACGTATCGTTGAAAGAAATCGGTATGGGGAGAGATGAGAAAAATTATAACAGTCATTAAAAAAACATATGATAGTTGAATTTATACCATCTCAGCTTTGCATCGAAGCTAAAATTAACACAAAATATTCGATGGATTAAAATATATTAAATTTATCAAGACATCGTGGATCACTCTGCATAGCTCTGAAAAAGAATAGTTCTTGGCACTAATGAAAGTTAAAATAAAATTTATAAATTTATTAATAAAAATCGATAATTTTTTTAATTGATAAAAAGAATTTCTGATCTTGGTCCAGTCATTGAATTTGTTATTAAGACACTGTGAGAGTTTGGTTAACACAGATCTTCATATTTTGCTTAAAACAATACTTATTCTCTTTGACAAACAAATTGTAATGCCGTTATCAGCGCTAATCAGTATTAAAATTTGATAACATTTCATTCATAGAATATGTTCAATATTAAAAGTAAGGTTGTAAATTTAAAAATTAATTGTTCTATTCATTATTTAGATTATATAAATTGTGTACCAATTTTCAAAATTTAAGAAAAATTTAAACTTTTTTCTTCATTACTGTTGTGTAAATAAAAATAAACAATTTACATTATAATTGAATAGTTAGGTTATACCAATTATTTTTTTATATCATGTAATTTATTTTTAAATATATTTCACAATCAGTATACTTATACCAGAATACCTACAATGGGACTGGTAGGATCACACTTGTCTCGCAAAATTAGAAGATTCAATGTAATTGATCGAACAGAACGTATCATTAATAAAGAAAAACCTATTCCTGCTCCTCTTCATAAAACTGATGTTGAGCGACTAAAAAAAATGATGCAGGGTATTATTATTATTATACCATCATTAACAAAGAATTATACAAACATTAATTTTGTTTTAGATGATCCTCAGATGAAAGAAGAAGTGATCAATAAAAATTCCTTACTTGAAAAAAATTTGAAAGATGTTTATGTTAATTCAACAGGTGATGTAAGTATATACAATGGTTTAGCTTATTTCATAAAAAATGTAATATCAATATTTTTTTACTTTAATATTTAAATATTAGTTTCTCCATATTCTATAAGCTTGATCAGGATAATTCAAACATCAATGTAATAATTACAAGGGAACATTTTTTTTATATCGGTATTAAATTAAACTAATATTTATATCAATAAATTAACATTCTATTTTTAAAAAAATTGCAAAATATATTTATGAAAAAAAAAAATTAAATAGTAATTTTAATTAAAAGTATTATTATGAATTTGTTTTCAGCATCCTGATAATTATGTGAAAACCAAAGCTAAGTTACCACAAAATAGAGAACAAGTTTTTTCTTATGGATTTTTTATGAAAGAACCTTCTGAAGTACCTGAAGGGCGTTATACTTTATCACAAATTGTTGAATGTATATCAGATCATCATAAAGATAAAAAACAATTTACTGCTGAAATATTAGCTAAAAAACTCAAAATAGACGTGAAAGTTATGGGTAAGTTTATTATAATATCTCACTAGTTATGCAGTTTTATATTTAAATTTTAGAATTAATAATTACATTAATTATATATATTGATTTAAACTATACCTTTTATATAAATAAATAGATCAAATATGGGTGATAATCTATGGAGCTTGCATGATTTCTTAAGAGGTTTTAGTTTTAGTTATTTTATGTTACCATATTATATAGTTCATATATCAAATTAATAAAATCAAAAAGCAATTTTTTTATAATAAATTAATAGTTAGTTAGTTGTAAACATGGTCTATCATTCCTCATCTATTTATTTATATATCTATTTTTTTTTTTTGTAACACACAAATTGTTTGTATGAAAAGATATTTTAGTGCTAGATACCAAAAATAAAAAAATAAAATACTTAGAATTATAAATTCAGTAATCTAATCATATTAAGTGAAAAAATATAGATAATAAATATGAATTTTATATTTAAAACGTCATATTGACTATTCTAATTTTTGCAGAAAATATACTCAATTACTATCGTGTGTTTGATATGTATATACCACAAAATATGCGTGACAAGCCAAAATCAAAAGCTCAACAATTTATTTCAAGTACATTTGATGGAATAAAGAAAGATTTGATGCATGATAAAAATGAAAAGCAATATAAATACCTAGAAAAATGACTTTTTATTTGTTAGGATTATAATATTAGTATGAAAATAAATTGTTTTTATTATTGTTTGCAATCATTACTGTTTTTTATTAGTTTAACTTTGTATAAAGTAATAAAATAGTCATATAGTCAAAGCTTACTTTCTTATATTAACAGTAATTAAACAGTATTTAGAAGACAAACAAAATTTATCCGTTAAAAATATATTAACTCTTTTTAGCAAAATTTACATTAGCAGCATTTTTTTGAGATTTTTTTTTTTTTTTTTTTGTAAAAAATTAGTAGTTTACCCAAGAAATTTATTTTACTTTAAGTTATCTAAATGCTAAAGAAAAAACCATATTTGGATATTCTTTATAAAATGTAACCATGCTAATTAAGCGACTAACAGTATAAAATATATAAATTATGTATATATGTGCAGTATAACAATCTATTTAATTGAAGTACGAAAAAATAGGGTAAATATAAAGAGATAGCTGATCTAGTAGGTTAACATAAAAACATTGAGTTTATAGTTTTATTTTATTAAAATAAATAATAATAATATAATTAATAATGTGTTAATTACAAAAAGACTGTATATAACTAATTTTTTTCTGTTTTCACTATGTGTTTATATTCTTATTCTATCTTATTATTTATTTATTTTTCTAAACTAGTCATAAAATTGTTACCACACATTTTTTTATAACAAAATGAGTTAATAGCATACATTTAATTAATTAAAGCTACATTACCACAAGTAATATCACAGTATTCATTCATTTTTTTTTTAGATCAATATTTTACACAGGATTATATTTTTTGTGATATGTTGATGTCCTTTCTTATTAATATATTAAAATTGAAATTGTGTGTTTTGATAAATATTAAACATTTATTTTTCTTTAATATTTTATACATTAAGCTAGAAATAATTTAAATTTGTGATTTTTATTATATAAAAATCCTAATTTCAAGAGGAAAGCATTATTTAGATATTTCTTTCTAAAATTTGTTTGATACATATATATGTATATTGGGAGCGTGTTGTGATGCAGTGTTCAAACAGCGCCTTTAAATGTTACTGTTCAGCTGCGCTGTTTATTATTAGTTTCCGAATGGGAACTTAAACAGTAACACATACCTTGTTCCTATACTGGTTTCTTCAGCCAAAATGAATTTGTGTTAGGTCGAAAGCGGGTGTAGAAACTTTATTAAATCATAAAATAGAGCCGACCTCAAAGAGTTGTAATAAAGGATAAGGAGATAATTATGAAAAATAATATTTACTATTATTGTAGGATTTTCTTTAATTTGGGAATTAATTAATATATTATATGTATATTGAATAAAAATGTCTTGTTTTAGATACTTAAGTTAAATATTGTTTTATTATTTATGAGATTTTGTACACTTTAATTAATAAATGAAGGTCAATTGAATTAATAATCAAGTTCATTTGAAATTTAATTTGAGCATTAAAAATGGTTTACTTCAATTAAAATTGTTATTATAACATTTGCACAGGATAATCCTTGTTTTTATATGCAGCTTAAATAAAGCTATATTTAAAGCTTATACAATTTTTAAAACGTAAATTAAGAAATATATTATGTTATAAAGTTGCCTATGCATAGTGCCTAAATTGAATTAATTATTTCAGAAATCCATTAAAAATACAAAAAATAAATTAGATTCTATATTTTACAAAATTTAGTGCAATTACCAATTAAATATTACCATTAAATAATGTAATAATTACATGTCTAGTTACCATGACCACAACGGATTTCACTTATTTAATAAAAAAAATTGTGTGGTTTAATTTAGATATTATCAATATTTTGATAGTTCGATTATAAATAAACTAATATTAGTTTTTTTAATCATCTTTATATCATGCAAAAAATTTCATAGATATTTTTTATTTAAAAAAGTAACAAGAAATAAAAAAATTCATTTTTATCATTTTAAAATTCTTTATAAATGTTCTTAACAATAAACTTAAAAATAATATATAAGCAAAAAGCGGTTTTTTATTACAAGTTATTTTGAAAAATATGGCTAAAAAATAGTCATAACACTATCATTATGATAGTAATAGAACCACTTTAAACCTTGTACATTAACGTCCTTTACCCTCCGTGACCTATGCGTGGGACATATTTTACAGCGCCATTAACAGATAATATCTCAGATAAATTTGATTGTTTGTATGTGTATAGACTACATTTTATGATAGAAAAAAATTAATAGAATTTTAAAACTATTTCTACATTTTCATACAAAGGTTCTTTTTTTCGTGACAAATTAACGTGTTCAAACCTAAATCGATATTTTATTGGTCATTTATTCAGCACTTATAATAATTTTTCATTATCTCTATATGTGTTATAGTAGTCTAATATCACTAAAGATACTTATACACAGATAAACAATACTTCAATACTAAATAAAAATTATGTCCTGCAACAAGGAAAGTGGGTTAACATGTAGTAATAGATAAACGGTTGTATCGGATAAAAAAAATTATAACAAAATTGTTTGTAAATTTTCCCTTTATCATATTAGCAAGTTAAAATTAGGGTTTCCTATTTAAGAAAGTTAAAGCTTCCTATCACTGACGATATGAAAAAAAAAAATGATTTAACTACATACATTATTACAGAGTTTTTTGAACCAGACAATATTTTTCAACAAAAATTTAAAAGTTCCTGAGAAAATGAGCATTTTTGTCAAAATTAATCTGTACAGAGAGTGTAATAAATCTAACACTATTTATAACTTTTGATCTACTTACATTTTTTCAATTTATTAAAAATTAAATATTTGTAATATTTCTTTATTGCGTAAAAAAAAAAAAAATAACTTTTTTTATAAAATTAATATTTATCTAATAATTTGAAATTTTGAGAAAGTCATTTTAATGATTAGTTCTAAAGAATAATTTTGATGCCACAAACTCTTATTTTAATTTAGCTATTAAATTACTAGATTTATTAAGTTTGTTAAAATTGTTAACACTTTTTCTATGGTATCAAGAAGTGTTTGTTATATAAAAAAAGAATAGAAGTAACCGTATTATTTCATATTAGTCTTTTATTGTAAATTTATCTTTTTTCTATTAAAATTATTTATAAAAACACTTAATAGAAACAAAAAATGAGTAAATTATAAACACCTGTATCACTCATTTTTACCATGCAGGAACACACTCTAAGTATAAATCATTTAACCTTCTGATTTATACTTCGAACACTATAAATTTTCGATGCTTCTACCATAAATTATTGAAAACTTGTTGTATTCTATTATAAAAATATATTTTAAGGCTGAAGAAAAATCTTTTTGGTGCCTTCATCATGTTTTTTAAATCTTTGTCTATAAGTGACATTAAAAAATATATGGATTTTATATATAAAATAAAATTGCAATGTGTCACAATTTATAAATTTTAAATTGATGTTTTTTTTAGTGATGTTTAAAAAAGATTGTAAACATCTCACCAAGCTTAGAAACCAAATGATTGAAATATTTTAACATTTTAAACCATATCTAGTATATTAGGTGACCAATATTAGATTTTTATCAATAATATGAAAGAGTATATTTTAGTTAATTTTGGATTTTTAAACTAAATAAGAACAAATTTTAAGGTCAAATAAGTTTTCAAAGATAGTCTCATAATGTTTTTGATTTCTATAATCTTTTTTTGACCATGTACTAAAAAAATTCGATGTAGATGAACTAATTAGTTGATTGTATACTTATTAAATTATAATTTATTAAAAATAATAAAAATTGTTAAAACCTGAAATTATTTCAGTTTCTAGTTTTACATCTCATATAAGACTTCACATAATTTGATAATTTACCGGGAAAATATTTTTATTTTGATAAAATAAATACATAGTATGTTATATTTATCTATTTTTTAAATACTAAATTATTAATATTAGTATCAAAATTATGTCACAATTCGTTTCGAATTATCAATACTATTATTCAATTTCAATGTTTTTGATAAAAACATAATTTTTGATATAAAATGCTTTTATAACAAACCGTATTATAACGGCGGCTATGTGGAAAAACTTCATTAGTCATATTTTTTATTTTTGGACTAATGTGTACCAATTTCTTTTTTAGTACCAAAAAAGTAAAACTTAATGGTACATTTTTCATGGTCATAAACTAAACCTCGTTCCTATACAATGACAAATACATAAATCCTAAAGTTTTTTACATCTACAGTAAATTGATAAAAAGAGACTTTACCACGTATAGAAAGATATAAGTAAATATTCAATACCCAAAATGATCTAATTTAGTTTTATATTCTACTAATAATAAAATTCTATCAATTTAATACATGTAATATTATAATAGTTGAACTATATTGTATTCTTAAAATTTATTCATTTATTTTTATAAGATTTGTTAAAAAAAAAGTGTTCTTATGTCAACCATGAAGAATAATGCATAAATATGATACTAATAATTGCAGCTATTAATTCGATTAATACGTGATGTCATTAATATTGCGAAAGTGAATTTTAGGATGATAAATGAAGTGGATTATCTGTGCGTCATAAAAACTTGTGTAAATTATACATATCATAGTTGTATCATAAGTACTATTTTATATTTCCTAAAATATTTATAATTTGAGCTAAAATGGAAATCATTGAAATTGTAATTCCTATTACACATGTACATAATTGATTATTTGTAATGCGTGTACATATTTAATTATTATAAATTATTAATGAAAATTTCATTAATTATTTTATCTTCATATTTGAAATTTTAGAAACACTCATAAATAATTAGCTTATTTCTTTATTAATAATCTAATTCAGGAAATGATCGGCCAATAACAACTTTTGGGCCAGTATTTCAGAAGTTATTAACAATTTTAAGTAAAAACTAAAGGTGAGGAGTGGGTGCTGTTATTTCTATAACTAGACATTTTCCAGCCATACTCTTCTTGTGGCCTTGATATAAATATGTCAAAAAATTCTGAAATTATAGTCCCATGTTGTTATTGTTCAATAATTTTCTTAATTAGACGATTATCTATTAAATAAG